TGTGTGTGATTTTTTCATCAAGTTCGGGCTACTGCGAGGAAAGGATACCAACTCGACTCCAACGATTGTCCGACCCAATATAAGGTCATCGAACTCTAGTTCAACAGCTAGTCGCGAACAATCTGTGCGGCTCGTTCAACCAATTCCCATATAACTCCAGATCTCAAATATCTCGAGAGAAATCAGATTAACAACAATCTTTGTGTAATCACAGCGTTTAATCGCAAGAATATCAGAGTTGCATTTCAAATCAATTGTAATCTTTTTATTTTCGCTCTTTCTTTTGTACCAACGTTGTATATATACCCCCTGACAGTAGCGGATCCAAGAATTTCTTTTAGGGTGAACCAAAATAAAAATTCATTATACATTACTATTTTTGTCGATTAATATTTTTTTTAGGGTGGGCCAAAATATATGAATTTACATGTTAATATTAAAAAAAAAAATTTGAGGGTGGGCCCACCATTGCCCCCTGAAATGATGAAAAATGGTTAGAAAACTCTCATAAAATTTATGTTGTAAGCTCTCACGATAAATACAAGAACAGTGGACGTAGGGTCAATAGTTTATCTCGCTGAACCACTTTAAAGATCTCTTTGTAATTTACTTTTTATATTTATCATTTACTCATCGCTGATTATCTATAATCACATACACATCAATTTAGATCTCGTTAAGGTCAATCAAATCACTCAATTGGTTCAGATTTCTGTATCAACAAAGAGATTCTTTTATATATTTATTTTTAGAAATTAGAGATACTTAAAACATTATTAGGGATACTTTTAAATTTAGTCACAAAGTATCATTAAATATTTAGGCTTCGTTTGGTTGGATTTTGGGAATACTACTTTTAGTATTCCCAAAAAAGTTAAACAGTAAAATACCCAAAAACTCACAATATTATTCAACTTTATTCAACATTTTTTAAACCTCCTAAATTTGTTAATTCAATTAAATACCCCTAAATATTTTTAATGTTTTTGTTACGGCGACTCCGGCCACCCTCCGGCGGTGGTGGCCGGCTGTCCGTATTTGAGGGTGGATTGGGAATGTTTTTGTTAACTTTTAATATTTTATTATAAGGGGTGTTTTGTAAAAAAACAAACATAGGGGGTATTTTACAATTTGTAAATCCTACATCGTAATACCCGCCCAATTCAACTTTTTTTTTAACTTTTTTCAAAAAATTTTTCTCAAAAACACAAAATTGTGAACCAAACGGAGCGTTAATATTCATGTGTGTTTCATATACATGAATTATAATTAATCGTAATATTATAAATTTACAATTCTATCCCACCCAATAAGGGATCGGTGGGGACGGGGGGCTATTTAGGAAACTAATGAGATGCTCATAACACTAACAAAAAGACACTCAATACTTCAGCAGAATCTACACCCATTTCAAAACGCAACACTTTATCTTCATTTATGTGATCTCGCTCAGGGCTGTTAAAAAAAATCTAATATCCGATATTTAATCCTGATCCGCTCTGTTCACATCCGAAAAAATTGAATATCCAAAAATTTGGATCGGATATGGATCATAATTTTAGAAAATCTAAATATTCGAATCGAATATCGGATCAAGATTGTCAAAAAAGCGGATATCCGTATCCAATCCGGATTTTACTAAAACTTTTTGATTTTTAAAATAACCTTACAAACACAATTTTAATTTAACTCAAACTCAACTCTCTCAGTCTCTCTCGCTCGACACTCGACAGACGACAGTCACAAACTCACAACTCAACCTCACCATCGCCATCTTCATTCTTTAGTCTTCACTTACAGTCACCAACTCACCATCGCCATCTCTCTCACTCACTCCTTCCACCATCAAAGCCAAGATCGTCAACAACCCCAAATCGTTAGTTCCTCTCCTAAATCCCTAATTGAAGCCCCAAATCGATCGTAAGTATTTATTCATCTCCATATCTCATCTCTTCTTTTACCTTCCATCTCCATATCATAAATACAAATAATCCCTTATTTTTTGTAGTGGTTGATTTCCTTTTTCTGGTAAATACCAAGAAATGGGTTTTTAAATTTCTTCAGATTTGCTGAATTTTCTTTTTCCCTTTCGATGTTGTAGTGTTTTCCATTATAAATTGTTGAATTTTCTGCCTTGTTTTGTGATGGATGCTTTGACTATGGATTGTTGGATCTTCATTCATGGTTTGTTTTCTGCTACAGGACAGTGAAGAAAAAAATGGTTTGTTTTTTGATATCATAATGATAATCTTAAACAGTCAAGTTCAATTTTTGATCTTTCTGTTTTTATGTTAGGGTCTAATTGAAAATTGCTTGGAGTTTAGGGGGAAAATTTTATTCAAACTGCCTACATTTGATGCATTGATCTCAAGCATCTGATGCCTTTTAATTTCCTTGTGTTCCTGACATTGAGGCATGTGATTCTAAATCATTTATAAATTAAGATACAGCTGAATTATTGCGTTCAATTTTTGAATTCAATTTCCTTAGTTATTTACAATTTTTAATTCATGTTTATTTATTCTCAGCATGCAAGCTCGTACTTTGTTTGGCTTCATTGTATTATTAAGCTTTGCGCTTGTTTATAGTTTTTAGAATTTTCTATCAGTGCTTTTATCAATAATGTCTTTCTTGGTTATCTTAGATAAATTTTATCTTGTATGTTTCTTTATATTTTCTTTTTCTGTTTTTGGAGGTAGATTGAGGATATGGGTATGTTGTTTCATTTCAGCCAATAAAATGTATTTTTTAATCCTCCTGATGCCAATATTAAAATCCGAGGACGAGAATCAACATATATATGGGTATGTTGGATAATGACTGTTGCTATGTTAATGTTATTGATGTTTGGTTTGTCACAATTTTATTTGATGTTGTATGGTGTAATGAGTTGGTTGTTGAAGTGGGAAAATCTAACCAATTGGTGGGACTGGTTTGTTTGATTAGAAAAATAAAAGTGTTTTCCTTTATGAGTATGAATTTGTTGGTTGTATACTTGTTGTTGTGGATTCATTAATATTGGTTGGACATTTTGGAGGTTGCTAACATAATGTTGTCTTTATATATTAATAGGTTGAATTAAATTTTAGGGATGAATGATAAAAGAAGCCTAACTTCTAGACTTATTGTTTGTAAACTGCAGGTTAGAAGCATAAAGATTAAGGCAAGCTTTAACTTGAAAATGAAGAACCATGATGGCAATTTAGTCTCTGAAGGAAATAGAGGGAAGTTGGCATGAAGAATTGAAGATTAGAAGATGTATTAGTATTAAGTTGGCTGCTTTTGTTTGTCTTTCTATTAAATTTGTAATTTGTGTAATAGAGTATGTGTTAAATTGACATTAAGCAACTTATGGATTAATTTGTTGGTAATACTGCATGATATAATTTCAATTTTATTGCTAGAATTATTTGATTTTAATAAAAAAAATTTAAAATTTGGATATCCAATTATCCGATCCGAATAATCGGATATCCGTAAAACCGGATATCCATATAATTCGGATCGGATTCGAATCAGGATATAACTTAATCCGAAAATCCGGATTGGATCAGAAAAAGGCCTATTCAGATCGGATATCCGGATTTGCACAGCCCTCTCGCTTCCGGAGTCCACATTCGATCATATCTTGATCTCTCATTCAGCTCAATTAAGGGTTTTTCAAATAAAATTCAGGTCGGTCTTTTCAATTAATTTTAATTACGGGAGTTCCAATTCAGTATTGTCGCTGCGATTTATAGAGCATTTATGGCNAAAAATGCTTGAAATAAGCATATTTGCATGTGGATTTACTTTAGATACCTTAGAGTTAAGTTAATTTTGAGTCTTGTATGGGGTCATAACATGATATAATTATAGGGGATTAATATATTTTCCCACAAGATAATATTCATTTGTATTTCAATTTTTTTTTTTTTTTAAAGACATTACGAGATCATCAAGAAAATTACTATTAAGTTTATAGTATATAAAATAAGAGGTCAATATATAAGAGAGTTTTTTTAGTCTTTGTTTATGTAATTAGTTTAAAATAGAATGGATTTAAATTTAGAGTAATGCTATTGCCCCCTATTCGAGAGAAAAAAAAATTATAAGAATGGGCAAGATTACAATTCTGTCCCACCCAATGACCCAAGTAAGGGACGGGTGGGGGCTATTTAGGAAACTAATGGGATGCCTACAGCTTACAGCACCAACAAAACACACACTCAAAACACTTCAGCAGAGTCCACAGTCTACACCCATTTCAAAACGCAACAGTTGATCTTCATCTATGGGATCTCTCTTCTGGAATCCACATTCAATAGCATCTTGATCTCTCATTCAGCTCAGTTTAGAGTTTTTCAAAATTTTCAGGTCGTTCTTTTCAATTAATTTTAATTACGGGAGTTCCAATTCAGTACTGTAGCTGCGATTTATAGAGCATTTATGGCTCAAATATTGTGTAAACTTTTGTTTTGGATTTTTAAAAATATGATCTTGTTGTACGTATCCTTTTAAGCTCTATGAATTAACAGTTATAAGAGTGAGATGATGTGTGTATAAACTATATATTTATTTAGATTCATGATTTGGAAAAGCTTTGAATAATTAAATCACGATTCAAAATTTACACTAATTATTTCTCGTATGCTCTGTATTTGTTAGCCTTGTTTTAAGCTAGAAATTTTTATTATTTTCTGATACGCTGTCATCCCTTCTCATGAAATTAGCCCTTGAAATTTTTATCTGCTTTCTCCAGGTGATTGTACTTCAGCACGATTCTAAAACTATCAGTTTTTGAAGCTTGGAAGTTCTCGCGTATGTGGTTCTATCAAGTTGTACTTGCGAAGCTGAGGCATGTTTTTTGTGCTTTTTAAATTTTGTAAATTCCTTACTCATGTTGCCTGCTTGTGAATTTAATTAATTGTTTAGAACATGAAAATTATGCTAAATTCAGTATGCCTTTAGTAAATTTTGCTAAATATCTTCTCTTGTCGTCCAGATATTGATGCCGACAATATGGCAATAGATTTTTAACAGTATAATATCTTTATGATCTGACTGTTGAAGTTTATCATGTATTATATCTACTTCCTCTAAGTCATAGTTTATGTTTGATTTATTTCGTGTTACTGTAATCTGAATTTAGTTGATTATCAATTCTCAAAATTAAAATATTATCTTTGCTTTTGTTTGTGGCAAATGGGAGCAACAGCAGTGACTCAAATAAATTAATTCTCAACTTGTGGGTTCTTGACTAAGCTACACAGATCAAAATATACCTAACAGAAAGGTCCAAAAAAGCTACAGCCATTGGAAGACTTATAAGCTGAAAGTGGCTAACCAATAATTAAAGTACTCTCAGCAACCTTTATGGCTTCATCATCTTCGTCATCATCTCCTTCTTCCATGATTTCTCAAGGCAAATATGATGTTTTCCTTAGTTTTAGAGGAGAGGATACCCGGGCTAGTTTTACTAGCCATCTCTATGCTGCTTTGTGTCAAAAACAAATTCAAACCTTCATTGATGATGATGGACTTACGAGAGGAGATGAAATATCGCCTGCCCTTTTGAAAGCAATTGAAGAATCAAAGATTTCATTAATTATTTTCTCTAAAGATTATGCTTCCTCTAAATGGTGCTTAGATGAACTTGTAAAGATTCTTGAATGCAAGAAAATCAAGGGCCAAATGGTTATACCTGTTTTCTACAATGTAAATCCATCGGATGTACGCAAGCAGACAGGAAGCTTCAAAGATGCTTTTGTTAAGCATGAAGAATATTTTAAGGGGAAGATAGAAAAGGTGCAAAGATTTAGGACTGCTTTGACCGAGGCATCCAATCTATCCGGATGGGATTCATTGGTAACTAGGTAAGTCTTGGAAGTTCCAAATTTTTTCATGATATACAGTTAAAGTTAGTTGACTGATAAATACAGAAACATTGCTTCTACTGATGCTTTAGTTTTCTACTCTTCATAAATTATACTGTTTTGTTTATGCATCGTGGGTACATTTTTTCACTTACTACTTTTGTTCTTCACATTTGATAGGCCAGACTCCAAACTTGTAGACGAAATTGTTAAAGATGTTTTGAAGAAATTGAATGATATATCACCCTCAAGTGATTGCGAAGGTCTAGTTGGTTTAGAATCACGTGTTGAGCAAGTGAAATCATTGTTATGCTCTGGATTCTCAGATTTTCGAGTTGTAGGAATTTGGGGAATGGGAGGTATAGGTAAAACAACCATTGCTGAAGCTATTTTCAAGCAAGTTTCTGGACAGTTTGACGGTTGTTGCTTTATTGAAAATGTTAGAGAAGAATCAAAAAAATGTGGTGGATTAGCTCGTTTAAGAGAGCAAGTTATTTCTAGAGTATTAGATGAAAGAAATCTCAGTATTGGCACTCCCAATATGATACCTCAATTCATTAAGCATAGGCTCCGATGCAAGAAGGTTTTTATTATTCTCGATGATGTCAATGATTCAGAACAATTAGAGTTTTTAACAGGAGGGCTTGATCGATTTGGTCCAGGAAGTAGAGTTATTATAACCACCAGAGATAAACAGGTTCTTGGTAATTTTGGAGTGGATAACGATAACATTTATGAGGTTGAAAGATTCAAGCATCATGAAGCTCTTCAACTCTTTTGTAATTTTGCCTTTCAACAAAATCATCCCCCTAATGATTTTTTGGAGCTCTCAAGCAAGGTGGTAGATTATGCCAAAGGCAACCCATTGGCTCTTAAAGTATTGGCTTCCTCCTTACACAAAAAGAGCAAACGAGACTGGGAAAGTGCATTGAATAAATTAAAGAAGATTTCTAATCCTAAAATTCATAATATTTTGAGGATCAGTTATGATGGACTAGACCGTGAAGAACAAGATATATTTCTTGACATTGCATGCTTTTTTGAAGGAGAGGATAGTAATCATGTAACAAGAATATTAGATGGTTGTTACTTCTCTGCCCATTATGGACTGAGTGTTCTCATTGATAAGTCACTCATAACAATTTCAAGTAAAAACAAGCTACAAATGCATGATTTACTCCAAGAGATGGGTTGGGAAATTGTTCGCCAAGTATCCTTCAAAGAGCCTGGCAAGCATAGCAGATTGTGGAATCCTGAAGATGTCTGTAACGTTTTGAAGAAAAACACTGTAAGTAAGAGTGAAATGAATTTCATTAACTTTGTTTTATGTATCAGATCTTTAATAAAAAATCAACCCAGATAAAATTTATCTTCACTTCACTATGCGTTTTATGCTAATTGTTATTTCTTCTGCTTTGAAGGGAACTGATGCAATTGAAGGCTTGTTCCTAGATATGTCTAAAATCAGAGAAATGCATTTAAGTTCTGAAGCCTTTACAAATATGCGTAATCTTAGGCTTCTGAAATTCTATGTATCTGATCAGTTTTCAGGAGGCTTTGTAAATAACCCTAAATTGTGTTTTCCCCAAGGATTAGAATATCTGTCTGATGAGTTAAGATACCTCTATTGGGTTGGATTTCCTTTGAAAACATTGCCACCCAGATTTAGTCCAGAGAAGCTTATTGAACTTAACCTGCCATACAGTAACATTGAGCAACTCTGGATAGGAACTAAGGTATGTATAATTTCTTATATATTACCTATTTCTTTCATTATAAATATAATGTTGTGCATGTTTCATACATACAAAATTTACTTTTTGCTACAGTCTGCCTTCGAGTTAAAATCAATTGATCTTTATCACTCTCAGCACTTGATTGAGATCCCAGATGTCTCAGAGGCCCCAAATATTGAGATAATAGAGCTTCAACATTGCACAAACTTGGTTAAGGTTCCATCATCTATCCAATATCTCAATCACCTTCGTATCCTGCGACTAAGTGGCTGTAAAAGCCTTAGGAACTTTCCAAGCAACATTCATTTCAAATCGCTTGTAACTCTTAATCTCTCCTCTTGCATATACCTCACAGAATTTCCACGGATTTCGGGGAATATAAGAGATATAAATCTTAGTGGAACCGCAATAGAAGAAGTTCCCTCATCCATCATGTGTCTAACTGAGCTTTGTTCATTAGTTATGACGAGATGCTCAAGGCTCAAGAGTATTTCAACTAGTATCTGTAAATTGAAATCTCTTCAACGTCTTGAACTTGATTATTGCTCCAAACTTGAGAGTTTCCCAGAAATCTTGGAGAAAATGGAAAGTTTAGAAAGACTTTTGTTGAATGGAGCAACAGAAATTAGGGAGCTACCATCTTCAATAGAACACCTAAATGGCCTTCGTCATTTGAGATTGATGGATTGCAAAAATCTTGAGACCATTCCAAGCAGCATCTGTAATTTAACATCTCTGATCGAAATGGATCTTTCTGGCTGCTCAAAACTTGTCAAATTATCAGAGAACTCTACCACACAGTGGAAGGGGAATATATATTCTCAATGTCCAGGTTTTGTATTGCCTCCATTGTCAGCTTTATGTTCCTTGACAGAATTATTTTTATCTTTCTGCAATCTAACCGAAATTCCTGAAGATCTTTGTTGTATATCCTCACTGAAAACATTAAATCTGAACGGAAACAATTTCAAGACCCTACCTTCAAGAATAAAGCAACTGTCGAAGCTGAAACGCCTTTACTTAAGAGATTGCAATATGCTTCAATCTTTACCGGAGCTTCCACCATGTTTAAGAGTACTAATAGCAATGAACTGCAAGCGGCTACAATCATTACCCAAGCTTCCATCAAGTCTAGAAGAATTAGATGCATCTGAGTTGGAGGTAGTATCTGAACGCTATGTCCCATTTTCATGGATCACAATGCGCTTTTTATTCACAAATTGTCAGAAATTGAATCAAAATGCATACAACATCTTGGAACTTTCCCAGCTAAGAATTTATCAAATGGCTGTCACATCTTTGAGACTTTGTTATGAAAAGGTTAGTTAATTCTCTTTTTCTTTTTCTGTCTTTGAAGACTCGTCATAATACAAGAATTTCATGTTACAGGTACTCAAAGTCACACCTGCAATCAGCTTTTGTTTACCCGGAACTATAATTCCTAACTGGTTCAGCTACCGAAGTTCAGGATCTTCAATAACTATTCAGCTCCCTCAGCATTGGTGTAATACAAGGTTCATCAGGTTCGCTTTATGTGGAGTTATTGAATTTGAGGAGAGCTACTGCGATAGTGCTTTTTATGTGACTTGTGATTATCATTTTGATACCAATAGTGCTGATTACTATAGTTGCCAAATGCACGTTACAATGCTTGGCTATGATTATGTGTTAATTGATCCTGATCATATCGTTTTAGGGTATGATCCCTGTTTAAATGCTAGGCTACTTGAGGGCGACTACACGACTGCCTCGTTTCACTTTTACCCTGTCGAGTACGGGGGGAAATATTGTGAGGTTAAATGTTGCGGGGTCTGTCCGCTATATACACAATTTGCGGGCACAAGTACTGAGAAGGAAAGTGGATGTTCTGGGGAGGAAATTGAACCAAATCCTAAGAGAGTTTGCAGAGAGTGAATTAGTTGTTTCTTCCGCTTAATTGCTGGAGCTAAGGATTTCTGTGTCAATTTAATGGTAAATAGCTGGAGCTAAGGACCGCCGTCAATAACGGTTGCAAGCAGTCGTTGCCGAAGGTGCATCTAGCAACGCTGTCGACAGCAGAATGATTGGCACGAATCAATCTATTTGACACTGGTGGAATCACTGTCAAATCCTGCAGCATTTGGCCGTAGGAGGATGTATGTCAAGTTCATGGTAAATTGATGTGCAAGGTCTACTAGCAGAGTAATTGAATTATGTGACATAGTTCATGTTAAGTAATTAAGTTTATTTACCGTATAAGTTTCATGTTAATTTGTTAATAATTCGTTTATGCTTACTATATCTTTAATATGAACACAAGGGCTCAAACGAATTAAGCAAGTTCTAATCAATTCGAATAGCTAATTTTAATTTAACAAAAACTAATTGTTTAGTTTTCGTTGATGGAGTTTAAATTAATCTACCCTTTTGAACTATAAAATAAAACTTTTAGGGATGATTTTTAAGTCATTTTGATGAGACTATCATCATCCAAATGTGATCTATTTAAAATTTTAAAATTATATTTTTATTATAATTCATTTTCAATTAAAAAAATATTAGAAGATTGGTAATTCCTAAAAGTACCACAAAAAGTGGATTAAAAAAGTAATTTTTTTCAAAGGATTTTAATATGTAATTGTTTATGATAATTTTATCGCATCTTTATAATTTTTTTTATTTTTAATGAAATCAAGTATTAATACATACAGTTTTTTGTTGGATATAAATTATTATTTTAGAATTATGAAAATATATTATTTACAATTTTTTCTTTAAGGTTCTAGTAATGGAGTTTTAATTTGTTAATGGGTCAATATAATCCATCCAAAATTTGACAGGCTAAGAATTTCAATTCAAATTAATGCTTATTAATTAATGTAGTTTACATTGTGTGCTAAGATAATAATAAATTATTTGACAAGAGTAAATTAAAAAAAAAAAAATTTAGTTATAATTCATTTTAATTTATTTTTATATATATAAAAGAAAAGAGAAAATACAATGGATATTTAGTAATATATATATTACATAATCAAGTATTGCCGTCCATTTATAAACATCAAATCAAAAGAGAAATGTGAGTGTACCAGAAGATAAAACTTCTTTCTTTAATTTCCTCCCATTTCTTTATATTTATAGTGTTTGATACTGAAATTGAATATTATAATACAATTAATTATATATATTTTTTAGCTTAAGTGACTGCAACTATAAATTAAGATAGCTCTTCCAAATTTTGATATACAAACTACAAAGTAATTCAAACCTCTTAATAAATTGATAGTGTTCATAAAATGATTATGTCTTTGGATCATATAGGCTTCTTTCTTTAATTTCCTAAAAGGTATGATTCCAAAGTCATCATGTAAAGCATGACTTGATAAGGAGTTAAAAGGTATACACCTGCGTTTGGATCATATAGGCTGCGTTTGGATCATATAGGCTTCGTTTGGTTGTATTTTGGAAATACTACTTTAGTATTCCCAAAAAAGTTAAATAGTAAAATACCCAAAAACTCATAATATTATTCAACTTTTTTAAACCCCCCTAAATTTGTTAATTTAATTAAATACTCCTAAATATTTTTTAAAAAATTACAAAAACACCCCAACAATCCTCATTTACCAAATTCCGGCCACCACTACCAGAAAATGGCCGGAATCTGGTAAGATGGCTTATCTAGCCTTTTCCGGCCAAATTCACTGTGGATCTGGTCGAAAAATGCCAGATCTAAGGCCAAAGATCTAGCCGTTGACTGTCAGATCTTTGGCCGTAACCAGTTAGTAACGACGGCCAACAAATAGTCATCGTTGACCATCAACGACGACCGTTTGTTGGCCGTCGTTGAATAGCAAATACGGCCAGATCTGACCATCAATGGCCCGATCTAGCCGTGGATCTGGTCGAAAAAGGCCATATCGATGCACGATCGGTAAGATCCAACCGGTCATGCGCCGATACGGTGACTCCGGCCACCCTCCGACGGTGGTGGCCAGCTGTTCGTATTTGAGGGTGGGTTGGGGGTGTTTTTGTTAACTTTTAATGTTTTATTATATGGGGTATTTTGTAAAAAAACAAACATAGGGGGTATTTTATTAATTTGTAAATCCTACATCATAATACCCGCCCAATTCAACTTTTTTTTAACTTTTTTCAAAAAACTTTTCCCAAAAACACAAAATTGTGAATCAAACGGAGCCATAATATTTTATTATATGGATATATTATATTAACAGAAAGAAATATCACCTTGAAGATTACTAGGAATATTTAGAAAATGTGTTTGGTTGGTTCTGAATAAATTGGTGAATTATATGTTTGGTTAGAAGGATAAATGGGTGGGTATATTATTTAGATTACTAAATTGCCCTTATTTTTAAATATTAATATAATAATATTTTATTATTATTATTATTTGAATCATTTTTTAACCCCCTACATTTGAAATTTTGCTAAAACATATCAGCCATATAAAACTTTAATTTGTAGTAAAATCACCCCCAACCACCCTAAGTCACCATTGGCAGCCAGCCACCACCGTCGACCACTATTGATAGTCGACGGAATGGCGCACAACTAGCCGTATATGGTCGGCCGTGAGTCGGCAAAGCCGGAAATGGCCATGGATCACAAATCCATGGCCGGAAAACAGCCAAGTCTTGGCCATTTCACGGCCAAAGATGTGGCCGTACCATTTCACGTCCAAAGATCTGGCCTTTTCATAGTCAAATCTATGGCCGTTTTTACGGTCACATCTTTGGCCGTGAAACGGCCATAGAAACGCTAGATCTAGCCGTTTTTGAAAAAGGTCTTACCGACGCACAACCGGCCAAATATCACCGGTCATGCACCATTACAGCGATTGGTGAGTCACGGTCGACGGTGGTCTTGGGTGGCTAGAGGTATTTTGTTAAATTTTAAATTTTTTTGTGGTTAGGGTGTTTTAGCTAATTTCTCACATGTACAGGGTTAGGTAATTGTTATTTGGTAGACATTTGAAGGCAATTGTGTCCGAAATGGTTTTTAATTAAGGGCAAATGGGTAGAAAAATCATATTACCCCGGTAATGTTTTAATAACACCGGCTAACAAGGTAATAAGATTATCCCTCACATTACCAACAGTAAACACTATTTATAATAAAAGATTACCATATTAATTTATTACTTGCAAACCAAACACAGGAATCTTACAAAATAAATGAAGATTACCCATGTTATCTTATATACCCCTGATCCAAACGACCCCTCTAAGGTATGATATATTAACAAAACTCCTTCTAAGGTTTTGGAAATGACAAAAAATCTCTCAACCGTTAATGAATTGTTAAAATTTATACTATTTTAAATTAATAAATATACCAAATTGTCCTCTTGTCGTTTATTTTGATACCTAAAATCTAATGAAGGATTTATGTTATTTTGGAAGCTTTAGGAGAATTTTGGTTATTTTATCATATTTGACGGGGATTAACGTCATTAACTCTTATATAAGTTTTTATCCATAAATGAATTATTAACATATTTACGGATGGGAAAAATATTGGGCTTGGGTGGGCTGAGGCACAAACCGATGAAATCCCAAACATCTCAGCCCATTTATTTAAAGAGAAAGCAGTCCAATTTCTGCATTTTTTGAATTACAAATACTTTTAAAACTATAAATAATTTTCAAACGAATCGCATTTTTACCTTAACAATTATTATATTCCAATAGAAACTTATTGCATTTTGAGTTTTTCATTATAATTTGAAATTTATATACTTTTTCAGTAAATCCATTGTTTAACAAAATTGTTAGATTTTATTTTATGCTTTTTTTTTTATAATTATGATGTGAATTAATTAAAATATTATTTTCGCTAGTAAAAATGCTTGAAATAAGCATATTTGCATGAGGATTTACTTTAGATACTTTATGCTGTGTTTGGTTCAGGGAATGTTATATTAATGAAAAAATAGATTATCTTGAAAATTATTGGGAATGTTTAGAGGAATGTGTTTGGTTAGTTGGAATAAATTGATGAGTATGTTATATTAATATATTTGATTAAGATTAATAAATTAGTGGGTATGTTATATAAATTACTAAATTACTCTCTTTTTAAATATTAATATAATATTATTTTTATTGCTATTTTTTAATAGTTTTTTTAACCCCCTACATTTCAAATTTAGCTAAAGCACTCCGGTAACAAAAAAAGTTAAAACTTAACAAAAGTACCCCCACCCACCCCAACCTATTGTCGACGGCGGCGACAGTGGAGATCTGGTCGTGAAAGGTCAGATATTTGGCCGTTTCACGACCACATCTTTTCCTAACATGATATAATTATAGGGGATTAATTAATATATTTTCCCACAAGACAATATTCATTTGTATTTTTTTTTTTTTTAATTAGATTACGAGATCATCAAACAAATTACTACTAAGTTTATAGTATATAAAATAAGGAGACAATATATAAGAGAGTATTTTTAGTCTTTGTTTATGTTATTAGTTTAAAATAGAATGGATTCAAATTTAGAGTAATGCTATTGCCCCTTATTTGACCTCTTTACACCCCAATTATTATTAAGTTTATAGTTACATTCTGTTCCTCATTAAAAGAGTTATACGTATTTATAAGTTTTATTTCCTCTTTCAATCATAAAATGTAATTCCCTTTTCAAATAATTAAGACAGAATTTATCTATGTAATTGAAAGAATTTGATCGAAAGATCATATCAGTACAATAGAGATAGAGTTTATGCTTTACAATTGTAAGTTGTTTTGTTAATTTTTCACCTATACGAATATCAGTTAAATAATAGGAACTTAAAATGTTGTTTGAATAGTAATATTCATATTTGCTTTCAATTTAAAATTAACCATAAATTAAATTATTATATGTCGATACAAAGATTTACGGTGCTCATCATATGATTACATGTCTATGCATCTGTTAGGGCCAAAAAATGTCCTCGGCCCAAATAGGGAAACACCCTAGCAAAGATGAAAACCTAGGCCCAATCCCGATGGGGTCTAAGCCAGAATTCCACAGGTAAGGCCCATTCGGTGTGAAGAGTAGTCATATTTCACCATCTGGACCGAGGCCTCCTGATCCTAGCACACCTTCTGGGCTTACGGTCAATTTGGAGCCCACAATCACCTACAGATTACACTCCTACTTGAACTCTAATAAGGAAGTCGACCACTATCCCAATTCCTCCAAGGTCCGTATCTAAGTCATGCTCGAAGTCCCTT